CCTGCGGGGCCTTGCAACCAACAAGTACCCTTGCGGGTCACACACACACTCAACCGACAAGCACTCAGACAGGCATGCAAACGGGCAGGCAGCACACACACACAGACTTGGAAAGCACAGCAGAATGCGGGAATCACAGCAAGGCATTCATTCCAGTGGCAAATCCCAGAAATCGGCAGTGTTCTCAGTCTGTGTTTTTGGCGGGTCATTACACTACCCCCCTCTCAAGAGCAAGGTCCCTTCGAGCGAGTAACTCATTCAGAGTCGGCACAAAAGGCATCATAGGCGTAGATCAGAAAGAGAGATTTGGTGAGACCGTAGGGAGTGAGTTTTGCAGAAAACTTAGCGGTCTGCCCATCAACAATCTGTCGTTCGTATGCGTTCACAACACGTGGAGCACTCTTCAGCAGTTCTCTCCGGTCGATCCAGAAAAATTCGTTCAGCGGGTGATAGAGGAAGTGAACCTTGTATTGTCTGTTTCTCCCTCTTCCCTCGTGAGAAACGATTCAGTCTATCTCATGGCCGCCGTCGATAGCGCGAGGTATCATAGGGTCTCGGAAAGGAAAAGTCTCATCATCAATGTGCGGGAACAGTTTGGACGCATGAAAGACCGGATATGTGCGCAGGTGAGGAGGCACATCAATCACATAAGAAGGGCCAAAGTCATCACCAATCACCTTCAGAATCTGCCATGGGTCATAGTACAATGGAAGAAGCTTCCGTGATACGCCCTCTTCATCAGAGAACTCAGACATTTTGACCCAGACATAATCCCCTACTTGAAACTTTGCTTCTTTGCGCAACTTGTTAGCATGTTTGACCATGGCATGCTGACGCTTGTTCATGGCTGCGATAACAGTTTTGAGCACGCGTGTGTATTTGGCATTGTAGCCAGGCATGCCGGGCGTCAGACCAGGTGACCGTTCGGGGAACAGATTACGCATCTGCCATCCGTACTGCAGCTGGTTTGTTGTCACACCAATTGCAAAATGAATGAAATTGTTATACAGTCCCTTTACTTTGTGCAACTCCTTGTCCCAAGTGTTCTGATATGGAATGATCAATGCGCGTAGTAGTTGGATGACGGTCTGGTTGATCTCCTCGGCCAATCCATTGGCTTCGGGGTGTCGACCAGAAGTCTTGTTGAGTTTGATGTCGTAGATCTGAGAGGTGAAGTCCTTCCAATCAGCGCTAATGAAACGGGTGTCCCAATCACTCACAAGAGTTTTCAGGGGCCCATACTGCAGAATGTACTGCCGGTGAAACTCTTCGATCACCAGTTCAGTTGGTGCATGAGGAGGTAGAGGAATCAAATTCAGAAATTTAGAAAAGCGATTCACAATGACCATGACTTGAGAGTTCCGTGCCGCACTCACCTTTCCCATGTCCGTGAAATCGATAGAAACCGACTCCCCGAGCCCATTAGGAATTGGGAGGGGTTTCAGCAGGCCGTAGGGCTTATGCCTGCGGACCTTGGTTCTTTGGCAAACTTGGCATTCGGCAATAAATTTCTGAGCAGATCCCTTCATTCCCGGCCAATCAAATTGTTGCAAAAGACTTCCATATGTCTTTTCAAAGCCGAAATGTCCACTCCGACCATGTGCYAAATCCAGGAAATGAGTCCGGAGAGGCGCATGGTTGGGAACACACAATCGATCAAACTTTTCGTACCGGCGGAATACAAGACCATCGCATTCATGAAAATCAGGCTGGTTGTGAGGGTCAGCCTTGAGCTGCTCAAGGATGGGACTAAGGTCCGGATCCTTGGCGGTGTGTTCGACCAGATCCTTCTTCAGTTTCCTGCAGAGGTCATACGAATCCACCAGGCAAGTCAAATACTCACGATGGTGCGACAGGGCATCAGCAACACGGTTATAACAACCTTTCTTATGTCTTAGTTCAAAGTTAAAGACATCAATGTCATGCAGCCAGCGGGTCAGCGTTGGAGAAAGATCAGTTTGCGTCTTAATCCACTGCAAGGTCTGATGATCTGAATAAACCTTGAAGTGACGACCCAAGAGGTAGTGTTTCCAATGTGTGAACGCCTCGCGCAGGGCGTAGAGCTCACGCATATATGTGGAAGTAGCTACTTTGTGGCTGGGCATGTGTTTGCTGTAATATTCGAGCGGACGCAGGCCATCGCCATCATCTTGTTGCAACATTGCACCAATCCCAAACAGGCTCGCGTCCGTAGTGACTACGAATGTGATCCGCAATGCGGAGCACAGGGTGACTCACCAAAGCCTCTTTCAAGGCTTGGAACGCAGTCTCACATTTCTCACACCACACATAAGCAACATTCTTACGTGTTAGTCTCGAGAGTGGGTGAGCAATAACAGAAAATCTGGGTACAAACTTCCGGTAATAAGAAGCCAAACCAAGAAAAGAACGCAGCTCGCGTACATTCGCCGGTTGAGGCCAGTCGCGAATGACCTCCACCTTGGTTGCCTCCGGCTCAAGGCCGTTTGCAGACAACCGGTGTCCGAGATAGATGACACTGTCCCTACCAAACTCAGATTTTTCTAAGTTGACGTGCAGTTGAGCTTCTTTGAGGACTTGCAAAACCTCCTCGAGATGTTTGATGTGCTCATCCATGGACTTGCTGAAAATCAGAATGTCATCAAGATATACAACCACAAACCTGTTAAGCTGATGGCGGAGTACCTTATCCATGAGCCACTGAAATGTGGCTGGTGCATTCGTAAGACCGAAGGGCATAACGATGAATTCGTACAGCCCATCGCGTGTCTTGAATGCAGTCTTGTGCTGGTCGCTCGGATCAACTTCAATCTGGTGGTAGCCAGACTTGAGGTCGATCTTGGAGAAGACTTTGCAACCACCGGCCGCATCTAACAGGTCATCTATACGAGGCAAAGGGTAGGCATTTTTCCTTGTGATCCGATTCAAGCCACGATAATCAATGAACATACGGAGTTTGCCTCCTTTCTTCGGCACAAACAAGACAGGTGCGCCAAATTCAGACTCGCTAGCCCTAATCCATCCACGATCAATCATGTCATCAATTTGTCTTCGCAGCTCCTCCAACTCGCCTTGTCCCATACGGTAGACGCAACCCTTTGGAGGAACACTCCCTTCTACTATCTCGATTTTGTGCTTGAGTGGACGCTCGGGAACTCCGCGATGTTCAGCCAACACTTCAGAAAATCGATCTAATAGATGGCGAATGTTTGCTGGGATTTTCGGTGGAGGATCATCCTCATCAGGAGAAAGAAAATCAGATTGGGAATTTACAGCAATTACAATTGGCTTTGAAGCATTCGGATCAGAAGTGGGTTGATTATTCACAGTAGAAGTAGGTGGAACAAAAGTAGAAGTAGTAGAGGTAGAGTTACCTTAAGAGGTAGAAAATGCAGCAAAAGTAGAAGGCACATGAAGAGGCTTTACAAGAGCTATATGTACAAACTCAGCTTCCTTGCCCCTGCGCACTGACCTGCAGAATTTGTTTGCACTTAAAAGAGTCACAAGGGACTCGTGCGTCTCGTCCAATAAGACGGTACGCTCGTTCCCCTTGGCATCAAGTACCACGAACTGATTGTCCGCCCACGTGGTCCTTAGGCAATGAGCCTTTAGCCAGCCCAAGCCAATGACCGCGTCAAAAGGACACTTGTCCATGACATAGAAGTTCATCTCATGTGTGACAGTGCGGTCTTAACCAAAGGTGATACACACACCTTTGACAGCATGAGTGGAAGTGACAACCTCTTGGTTGCCCACCTGAGTCCGACAAGGGCTCTGCAGTTCCACTTGCTTCATACCCAGGCCCGCCTTACGAATCCCGTTCGGAGAGAAGAAATTAATGGTTGAACCACTGTCAATCAGCACACGGGTATATCGTCAGTTAATGAGTAGTTTAAAGAAAGTCAGCTCCACGCCCCCTTGAACACGGCGTTGCTGCTTGAGCTGCAGCCAGTGCTCCATGTGGGCGTGGAAGTCAACTTCTTTAAACTCCTCCCAAGGCTCAGTGTATAAAACTTGGACTGCACCGGCCTTGGAATCAGCATTAGTTTGGGCTTCAAGAGCAAGCTGCTGATCAGATCTAGGCTCCTCGGAAGGGCCGGCAATTGGCTGCTCAACTTCCCTTGTCGTAGAGAGCGCTGATGTCTCCTCTACGCCCCTTGCCTGTTTCCCTGAAGACGATAGCAATCCTGCACAGCGTGCCCAGACTTTTGACAATGCAAGCATATGCGCAGTTTGGACCTTCTTTCCCATTCTTTTTGGCTGATGCAGAGGGCTTCCCAAGGCTTGGTAGAAGCGTCCTCCGGTTTCTCAGGGATCTTTGCATTTTTGGGAAGGTGTACGACAGTTCCCTTACCCGCACCACGGTTAGGCCCCTTATTTGAAGCAGTCTTTCTGAATGCATTCAGTTTTTCATCTTCATTTCTGTCACACTCAATGGCTGATGTGGAACAGCCCGTATCGGAGTCCGGCTCTAGATCGTCATCTAGGGACAGATCATTCGTATAGGACTGATCTTCAGCCTCCCGATGATCATGCAGTGCAAGCTGGTTGCTGCTTCCAAACCGCTTGCGTTGTGGTTTCCCACCTGCAGCGGGCGCCTTCTTGCGCCTGGCGAGGTCCTTGGCCTCTAGGTTGACTAGGTCCTTCATGAGCTCTCGCCAGGTGGTATGGTCTTTGAGTGCTAGCAGGGAGAGATATTCCTTAGGGGTCACTCCCATGACTACATCCATACAAGACACGTCAGTCATTCCCAGATCCGGAGTGGTGAACAGACCAGTCAAGTGTTGTTCCAAAGCCTGCATGGATGACCTCCATGTTTGGCCCTTGAGGGCCTCGAGCTTCAGCCTAGCCTTGAGCGCAGCATGTTTATCTTGGTACCGATCAAGGAGAAGATCCTCAAGAGCGCGGACAGGGGTGACCTTCAGCCATTCAGTCAGGTATATGCGTTCATAGCCTGCAACAACAGCTTGGAGTTCAATGTGGTTTCGTACGGCGGGCTCAGTATTAGTTCCCATAATCATACTTTGGTCCTCTTGCGGTGTTCGCATGACCTCGAAGTACGACCGCATGGAACTAATCCAAGAGTTGGTGTCTGTCTTCCCATCGTACTTGGACGGCAGCGTGGCCGCCCGCTTGTCCACCATGGGAGTGTTGTACTGAACGCCAGTAAGGACTGTGGCGTTTTGGGTTGAAGTCCCTGCATTTGGGACCATGACCAGCGCAGAACTGCTGGCGCTGCCGCTTGAGGAGCTGGCACCAGTTCCTGCGCTTGCCATGGTTTCACTTGATCTTACTATGAGGGTTGTGTTTGATTGAGAGACCGGGACTACAACAGACTGAGGGTTAGGAGGGCGGGGGGCAGACAGTTGGGACTGTTTGAGGCTGGTTATCTCAGCCTGCAGCTCTTGGTTCCGCTGCTCCAGCGCTGTTACGCGGGCCTCAAAATCTTCCAAGTTCCGCAGTCGAACCAAGGCTGCGACGGCCGCAGCTAGCCCCTCCAAGAACCGGTCAGTATTGGCTTCCGGGACCTGTAGGAGGGCCTCCTGAGCAGCTATACTTGTATCTCTAGCTGCTGCCTCTGCCTCCCTTTCCTTCTGTACGGCATCATCATACAACTTTTGGAAGAACGGTTTCTGACTCTCGTCTGCTGCGTCCAGCATGGCCTGCCATTGGACAGATGTAATGTCTGCCATGCCGGAGGAAGGGGTGTCAGTAGATCTCTCAAGAGGGGTCCGCTCTCTCCTTACTTTTGGACGAACACTCCTCTTGCCCCTCCCCACACCCTCAAACAGCACACCTTCTCTCTCCCTTTCTTCTCTTCTCGCTGTCTGCGCACGCGTCTCGATACCGGACATAGATAGTTCAGGTGAAAGAAACAAACAGAAAACCACTCTGAGAAGAAGGTAGAACTCCTAGCCGGAGTGCCGAATCATTTGGACTTAGAGCGTGGCACACAGCAGAA